TCTTCAGAACGCTTCAAAAGAGTCCATAAATCATGCTACAAACGCCACAATAAGGTTGCGGAACACAACATGTTGACATGGCTGCACTGTAACGCACAGGCTTGGTTCAAGGTTACCAACCGCTTCGTTTTGGTTGAACACAGAATCTGGTCCCACCTGCCTAGTCAGATGTGCCTAGTCCCATGTGCCTGGTCCTACGTGTTTGATCAGGAACGTATGCTCAGTGTTACCACGCTTTGGCTTGTTATATTAGATCAATGCAAGCAGGCAAACACGCGAACAGGCAATCACGCAGAAATGATACATCACATCAGTGATTGTTGTGTACAGTTGCAAGCAGTACCGCCTCACGCCAAAGCCCTGTCACAAGACAGGTGCGATATTTCGAGTAGACGAGGCCAACTTGCTCCTTCACTTCTATGTGGTACGGCAATCATGTCAGATACAACAGAATATGAATTCCTCCATGGTAGCTATAATACCGAGGTTTATACACACTTGTCCTTCAATCCTCGAAAAGCAGAGGAGGCAACAATTGCTTGCGTCGCCTGATGCTCTGGAAACATCAGTCTATCCTGATCTGTGATCGGTGACTGCCAAACAATCAAGCTCTCAAATTTCTCTACGGCAGTCACTCTTTGGAGAAGATATGAACATTTCAAATCAAATGTGTACGAAAAAGGGTATAACGAGCCTGCCAAGCCCCCGTTCATCAATACGACATACCGTACACCAGACACCCTTCCCAATGCCGCTAAAGACAACAAGAACAAGACAATTGATAAAACGATGCAAGCTACCACAATGGCCGCCCAACAGCGGAAAACCAAAGCAATCGGAAGACCAAACCTCTTACTTTCCTGTTAGTTCGCCTTCCAGATGCTGATGGTTTGTTAGCCATGGTCCCATTTTGCATTGTAGATCGTCATGGATAGAAGACTTACCGACCACTCTGGAATATCACGTATCCGCTGCCACATATACCGCTCCAGTCTGTTGGCAGCCTTGGCGTACGGCGTACTCTCATTATTGTATTTGCGGCAATTGTCAAAGATGAGCTTAGCGTCTCTGATGAAGTCCTCGGGAGTAGGGTAAAGATCCTTCTCGTGTTTTTCTTCCATAGTCGCAAGGTCCATGGGCTCTTTGATGACGTCGTAGTAGTCCAACACCTCATCCTTATTGACGGGCTGTTGGAAGGGCCAGGCGTTGCTGTTGTTCTGCATGTCGTTGAGGAGATGAAGAAGGGCGTTGTAGTTTGGTCCATGGCGGGGTGCGCGGGCGAGTTCGTCCATGACAGGCGACCAACCCGAGTTCTTGATTGCAGGTATGGTCAGGGGGTCGATGGCTTTCAACTCTCCCTTTGCCCACTGTGCTGGCGGCGCGTGGACTTCGTAGCTCTTGCTGACAGCCCTTATTTTGGCGTTTGCGCACTCCTTCTGTTTCAACAACATCCTACCACTCTCCAGATAGCGTATCTTGGGCACCATGCTACACTGCATGATGGTGCCGCCCTCGTAATCCTTGATATAACCCATCCATCTTGACTTCTCTAGAGTGATTTCCTTGGTGAAGCCTTGCTTCTTGAAATAGCCAATAGCATAGTTGTCCGCATAGGTGAGGAAGTGCATGACCTGCGAGGTAGCCTTGACGTAGTCTTTGAGATGCGACATGAGATGGGCACCGTACCCCTTGACCTGTTGGTCCGATGAGATAGCGCAGAAGACGATTTCGGCAAATTGACCCTTGTCGAAGGGGCGGTATGTGATGCCACTGTGCCATGATACTGTCAGTAATTGACTGTCAACGAGGAGAATGGGCATACATACCCTACCACCTCAAGGGGATGCTTCACAATGGCTATACTCAAGTGTGTTCTGTCGTAGACAAGGCGGGCAATATAGTCCTTTGGCATCTTGGGCAACTGCTTCTGGAAAATGCACTTGAGGCCCGTCAAGATAATAGTGCTCTCCCTTTCGCCATCGTTGTTGACGACTCTGAATTCGATTTCTCCGTTGCGCTCTTCTATTACGGCAGGTTTCTCGGGGAACGGGACTATGCGTTTCACGGGGGGTGCGGGCGCATCGTCGGTGGCAGAGGGGGTCGAGGGGTCCTGCTTTATGCGCTTGGGAGAGCCATTGGGAGGGTCGGCAGTCGCTTTGCGCTTGGCTTTGGGACAAGACGGATTAGCTTGCAGTTGGTGGAGCGGTGTGTGTGGAGAACATGGACGTGTTTGTGAAGGAGCTATGGGGGAAGCTATGGGTAGCGGTGAAGTTGGCGGAGAGGTGGGATAGCCCAACACGTCGCGCAACTGCGGGATGTTGTTGCGGGGAGACATGGGAGATGGGCGACGCCAGTGAAAGGCTGTGGACACTTACCTTCATCGGTTGCGCCCGCCATGTTGTGGTGTAGGGCGCTTTCAGCTGTGTAGTCGCGCCTTCTCTCGGCCCTGCGCGTGGTGTTGAGTGAATGTTGGGGAAGGTGCGCCTCCCACGCTAACGGCCCCACACCAATCAATGGCCGATGGCGGTTCAGTGAGGACCAAAGGCCACCAAAGCAGCTTCACGCAAGAGACACTGAATCCCGCCCAATTGCACGCCCAGAAACATGTCGAGCCCACTTGTAGACGTCTGGGAGGCTGCTGCGTCCTCGCCCTTCAGCCCTGCCATTGGAAAGAACACGCAGTTCACAGTCGGCTTCGTGCTGCTAGCCATATGTATGCTGGAAGCTCTGCTCTCGTGCTTGGTGGAGCTGCTATACTAACGACGCGCAGCCCTCGTCCTGACCACGCTCTTCGGCATGAGTACGCGACACCTTCACCCTCCTCCAGCGAACCTCTGCTTATCCGCAAACAGACCAATCCCTCGTCAACCTCCCCGTTCTCGGTGTTCCAGCCTCATTAGCATTCGGGTACGTGGCCTCGAAAAGACACAAGATGCGACCGACCACTGACCGACTGACTGACTGATGGCAAACAGCTTCGGTGCAGTCTACATGATTTGCGCAGTCGGCGTCTACGTCTAGTTTCCTACTTCTCGGTCCGGCGTTAGGGGCATACTCTGTGTACAATCTATGGAATACCAATAAAAAGTTCAAGACACCACCTGCGCAATACCCTCTATCCCACACACTTACAACACAGCACCATGGATCAAGACGAGCCTCCGACCCTGACGGCAGTGTCAGGCTCTGCGCGACAGCTCTACCTGCTCCTTCGTTGCATCGCCTTCTCCAACAAGGCCCACGTCCACATCAGCGACATTGGCATCAAGCTGGCTGTCGATGAGGCAAGCGTCATGGAAGGTACTCCTACCCGCAACCGTCCCTTCGTCCCTTCGTCCCATCTCTAGACTGACGCGACCACAGCTTCCGCCTTCCTCGACAAGTCTCTCTTCACAACTTACACCTTCAATGCGCTTGCCCCACTACACAACTCCCAACACTCCGACAGCGATGACGAATCCGAGCCACCATCTACTACCACCCCAGCATTTCAGATATCCCTTCCCGCTCTCCTCGAGACTCTCCAGATCTTCGGCCTCACCGACCCCTCCACGTCCAAGCCACCATGGGCGCGCGACGCTCCTTACCCGACCAGCACAGCCTTTACAGGAAACAACATACTAGGTGGCATGAACAACCTTTGTCGAATAAGCTACTATGGCCCTGGTGCTCCACTAGCTGTGACTCTCACCGAGGCAAGCATACGCACGCAATGCGACCTCACGACATACGAGCCCGAATATGCAGACGAGATACCATTTGACCGCCAGGCCCTTGCACTCAAAGTCATCATGCGAGGCAGCTGGCTATACGACGCAATACAAGAACTATCATCCACAAGCCCGGAGAAGCTGACCATGTACGCCAAAACAGTGCGTGGTAAACCCTTCTTCGCCCTAGCATCGTCAGGCACTCTGGGCTCTGCGCGCGTCGAGTTTAACAATCAGCCCCAGCCTTCCGCCTTCCGCACTCCTGTATCCACAAATTTCAACGTCAATAGCGAGACAGGAGATCAGGCAGCCAATTTGCTCGAAACCTTCCAGCTGAGCGATCCCCACACTGTACTTCGCTCGTCCTACAAGTTCAACTTGATACAGAAGGCTGCGCGTGCCATGAACGTTGCGACCAAAGTCAGCATACGGGCAGACACTCAAGGCGTACTGAGTTTACAATTCATGATCGAGGTTGAGAGTGGTCTATCAAGTTCCCAGACCGCGACTGGAAATGCGACAGGTGGCAAAGTAAGCTTTGTCGACTTCCGATTCGTCCCGCTCGTGGAAGAGGATGACGAAGAAGGTGATGCTGGAGATGCTGATGAGACCATTATCCACAACGGGACTGGAAGCGGTGAGGAAAGTGGAGATCAAGACATGCTATCATAGCATACTCCTAGCAATCACGGGCAGTAAATATGGACTTTGTCTTCAGCATGTGCCAATTCTGTTTGTTCATTATTTCTGCAACTCTCCTTTTGATAGACGCAGAGAACAGCCACCCAGCCAAAGAAAGGCTGAGCTCCAGCCGCAAACATGATTCCAGCCGTCAACTATCTTCCCTGCATGCACTAGGAAAACTCCACCTAAGGAAATGTGAAGCGTCATAGAGCCGATACGCCTGTGCTTTATGGTATGGAAACCAACCAGACCTCTAATCTTGCCCCAACTAAAAATTCAATTTGACTAATGTGAACCTGGATATATTGCGGACGCCCAGTCGTCCAGATCCAGGGTATCAAGTAATGCGTGCGTTGTTGGGATTTCTTGCTTTACATCTTCTTTTTAAACTTCATATGAGTAGGCTTTGATATCCAATCTGATGCCCGTTATCGATGTTCGTACCGAGCCGTAGTGATCGTCGCAAACGAGGGAACGAGGTGGGCGGTTCTTCTGTTACCGCCGTACTAGACTCGCGTCTCGATCGAGTGTTGTTCGTGCGCTGCACGGAGCGACTTAGAACTCAAGTTCAGCTACCACGGGCATTAGCAATGGTTTGCGAATGCTCTACCATTCGAATTCACCATTTGCCTTGTGGAACAAGTATCTTCCATGTCGTTAGTAATCTTTCTTTCATCATCTCAGCGTGAAACTTACTCCTTCTTGTTCGTCGTCAGGATACCGTCCTTGAGGGTGCACTTCCACTTGTTCTTGACGCGCTGGACCTTGTCATAGGTACAGAGCATATAGTCGACCATCTCGTCATCACTGTTGTCGCCATCGCCAAGCTCGTCCTCTGAATCATCAAGGTCAGAGTTGATCGCATCGTCCGGATCCTCTTCGGGCTTGACATCGTCGTCGCCGTCAAAGCGAGCAGGACCTGGTGCACTCGACGATGCTTCTGCATCTTCGGTCTGTAACACACGCACAGCAGCCTTTCGCTTCCTGCCCTTTGGCATCGAATCGAGCGGCACCATGAGGCCACTGTCCTGACGCATAGCCATGGCATCAACACGGGCACGCATGAAGTCGTCTGCTGCCATACGCTCGACTGCATCAGCAGCTCGCGCAGCCTTCAGGGCCTCCCAGTCGGCCATGGCATCACCTGAACCATCAGTCTGAGAGGTGTACATGTGATTTTGCGGCGGGGGACGCTGCTGCGGCATCTGTTGCTGTTGCTGCTGCGGCGGGCGCTGATGCTGTTGTTGTGGCGCCATCATCCGCTGCTGCTGATTTTGCATTGGCATCTGCGGCAAATGTCCTTGTTGAGCAAGGTTGGGAAAGTTTTGCTGCTGCACATGGCCCTGTTGCTGAATACGTTGCTGGACAAGCGCAGCCGCGCGCTGGTTTGCCAGCTGTGTGTTTTGATCATAGCTGCCACCATAACCATTGTTCGCAGTCTGGGCTGGAGGGTAGTTAGCAACAGGTGGCTGATATCCTCCTTCTGTCTTGACGGGCACATTCGGGAAGTTGAGGCCGTCCTGAGAACCGGAAACGGGAGGCATGTCATTGTCGACCTTGACATTGGATGGCACCGTAGGCGGCTGACGAACAGGCTCAGGGGCGGGATCCCAAGGGAAGTGAGCAATCTTGAGAGCAGATAACCTCTCTTGCCAGCCCTAGTGATAGTCAGTATATGTTCTGCATGACTGTGCAGTGAAACATGATATAAAAACAGCCGTCACATGACAAGCTATACCGCGTTGGGAAGTGATGCGTTGGTCTTGGCGGGTGGGGGAGCTGTGCAGGGGCTATAAGAAGGTGACCCAAATACTGAGGCGCCCCCGAGCTGCCAGACCGACCGGCAACTTCGCCCCGCTTTCAGCCGCCCAACATCCCAGGCCAGGCGACCATGGCGCGATCGCCACAGCCAGCGAAAACGATGCGAGAGATTGTTTGATAAGGAATGCGAGAAATACAACAAGCGGTGTGGTGCAGGGGCCGCAGTGGTGATGTGACAAAGGAAAGAAAGGCGCGACGCCTGAGATGGAGAGGCCAGGTTGCAACATACCTGCTTCATCTCGTCGAGCGTCGTGTGGTCGACGCCAGACTCCTCGAAATCATTCTGCGACGTCTGGATCACCTTCTCGATGATCTGCTGGTAGACGCCGCCCTGGTTGTCGCTGTTAGCAAGCCTGCCTTCACCCTTCCACCGCTCGCATGCGCGCCCAGGGGATACTAACCACGACCGAGTTCGACATGGTGGCGACTGCTTGCTATGGTCTCAGCTATCTAGTATACGATATGGGCTCTGTGAAGGCTGCACAAAGGCTTGCGATGGTCGCTCGCGTGCAGAGGTTTGAGGAATAGACAGGCAAGCCAGGCAGGCGACGTCAGCGCTTGAGGCTGCAAATAGGTGCGCGCGCTTGAGGAAGCTTCTGCGCTGTCAAGGAACTTCTACGGATATCGCTAGCCCAGACGGAAGGCTTTGTACGACGTGTTCGGGTGCCTTCAGCGTTCGTGGTCGTGGATGTATGAGTGATAGTGAACGGCGTCCCGGCAATCATTGAGGGCGCCGATTCCTTAGCGCCTAACGCTATACTAGTGCGACACGTGACACTGATCATAACCAGCTGAACAATGCCTTCGCAGCAACATGGTGGACCGTTCTCGTACACTCATGTCATGGCAAATGATTGTGCGCAATATGCATGCGACTTGATAATTCTATTGATACACATGTCGTCAAATCATCAGATGGTCTTGGGCTAGGCCGCAGAAATTGCATCAAAAGCAAAACTCGTGCTGCTTCTTCTAGTAGTGCCTGGATATCTCGGTACATTCAACACCCTACTTGCAACGACTGGCTCAATGCTCATGCACCAGAGATTTTCGCACCGCTAGATCTACATCTTTACGCCTGTATCCCGGCGACCGCCCCAGGCAAACGCCACGTACAATGATCTCTGTCACTTTGTTAGCCAACCTTGGGACTATTCGTCTCTCGTCACCATTTGCACTCACCATCGATAAGTCTTGAGACGTCGACCCAGCCAGTTTTTCTCCGCTTCTGCCTCACCACTGGCAAAGCCGCAGCCACGTCGTTCATGATATCCATGCCCAAATCCATGTCGCCTATGTGAAAGCCATCGGAATGCGAGAAATCATAATTGTATCCAGGGGCGAGATCTAATCCTAGTGTTTGATCGTAAGATATATCGTAATTGATGAGCCTGGGAAAGTCGCTAGTGTGACCGAATGACATGTCTAGACCAAAGGCTCCATTGTCTGCCATGTTGTAAGGCTGACCAGGTCGATTTGTCGAAGTGGTCGACGAAGTTGTCGCTGGGTTGGTAGAACTATTGTTGAGACGAGGCAGCTCCGTTGGTATGCTTGGACGTGGTCGTACAGCACTGCTATGAGCTTCGGGCGCTCCTTCGTCCTCTTCGTCGATAACACATTCCGCGAATGAACTTCTCGGATCGAGCTTGCACGCGTATTTATCCTCCAAATACCCTTGCACATCATGGCAGTCGAACCACTCTCCCTCAAATCCACTGAGATCCAAATCACCCAACTCCTCACTCCTGCCGTCTTCTGTGTTCTCTATTATATATACTCTCTTCTCTGGTGGTCCAATTTGCCGCATGTTCCATCCATTCCTAACATGTGTTATGTTGCCCGCAGCATCACGCCGCGGATAGTGAGTTCCTGCGCCGCCGAGATGGATGAAAGGCGATTCCCACCAGTCCAGGTCTTCATCAACAGAACGGGACATAATAGTCCGGAAGCGGCTCCGTATTTGATCGAGAGTTTGGTGGGGTAGAGAGAGCTTGAAGACGCGATCTATCGCCTAACTGCAATGGTTAGTCTCTTGTCAATCATTGAAGTAGGGCAGTGAGGTTAAAAGGCAATTCGTACATCGGCTAATTGGGTACGTACCGTAGGACGATCGTTGGCACGACTCAGCAAATGGAACCCCGTCTCAAGCGCCGCCCTGGATAGTCTCCTAGCAAATGTAGTCTCTTCGAAACTATATGTTGTCACTGGTCGAAGTGTCTTCGTCGGGACTTTCGTTGTAGGAGGTGTTGGAAGCCTGTTTATTGGTGGAGTAACGGCAGGCGTTGGTATACGAACGGAGTAGATGTGCGGGTTTGATGATGCGAAGGATGCTTGCTGTTGGCTGAGCAAGTCTACAAGACCAAAGGGAAGCTGTGCTGATTGCGATGAGGTATGCGAAGACGGTGGATCTCCAGGGGGCTGTGAAGATCGGCTCGATTGATCAAAAACAGCGCCGATTGGAAACGCACGGCATGGCACTAGATCGTTCCTGCTGTTGTCTACAGTACCATAGGCAGCACTGATGTGTGCGAGGTAGCTATCCGGGGTTGATAGTTGTTGTTGTTGTTGTTGTTGTTGTTGCTGTTGTTGTTGCGGGCGCTTCTGAACATCTGGCTTCGAGTTTGTGGAATAGCCCCATCCAACGTGTCGAGTTTCGACTTCCGGCTCGACTGGTCTTTGTGCACCACTGCGTTCAGCAGCTCCCTGATCCCCTTGTTCGCCATCTTCGTCTCCCTCATACTGACCCTCGCTGGCCGTCTTAACCAAGTTCGCAAATGTCTCCGTCACCAGCTTGAACTCCTGAGCCAATGTCGGATTCAGTTGCAACAAACCTGACTTCACGGTTGACTCATTCAGCTTTAGAAAAGTCTTGTTCATCTGCTCGATGATCGAATGAAGCTGTGCGCTTTGGTTTTTCAGAGATGAGATCGTCGTCTCTTTTCGTTGGCGATAAGCTCGCTGAGCAAGACGGATTTGAGTTCTTCGTCTCTGCCATATCTGTCAGCATAGTCGACGCGTGGTCTGAGACATTGAAGCGTGAAATGGTTCAGGCTGAATAGTGATGAAATGGACACTGCGGGTGGAGCGGGGTCGTCCATAGGGGGCGACGAAGGTCAATCTCGAAGCGGGTCGAGCTTGAAGAATGGCACTGCCTCGCAGCTTTTTCGATGAGAGCAGGTGTACATTTCTCATCTTCCATCCCGCTGTAGGATTGAGCAATAACGAATCAGGGCAAAAAGAAAAGAAAAGAAAAGACACGACGTCTCCACTCACATCTGCGGCTGTGGCATCCTGCGTATCTACCCGGGGCCGTCCCCTAGCCTTCTTTCCTCCAGCAACACCGTCATCGCCACTATTACTCCTGCGCGAGCGCTTGCGCGATGTCTGCGGTTGTTCTTCTGACTCTGAGCTCGTCATGATTTCGGTCTTCGCTTCTGATACTGCAGAACGAACAAAGTAAGAACGCCGGAGGTATGTCTCCGAAGGGGTTCGGTGGCACCTGTAGCGAAACTTGTGAAGGAATGCAGAGCGAACCGGAATCGGAATCTGCGGGTTGCTGTCACTCCGATCCGACTCTTGAAACACCGCTATCGTTCACTTGTACAAATAGCAGAAATCCTCTGTCCAGATTCTCGATGAAGTAATCCCTTTCGCGTAAAAGTAGCGGGAAGACGTTGTGCACATGTAAATAAGCGATCGCCGGATCGTATGGCGTCCAGAACTAATCCAACGTGACGCAAGCCAGCCAGCATGGAAAAGCAAAAGACTGTCCGGTGCCCGACTCAGCGTACGGCCGCTTCAGCTCATAAGGTTCGAGATCGATCAAGGGTCCGCTGTTACACAGGGCTAATGCGCGTCTCCGCACAAGCTGCGGCTAGTTCATGTAGGACGAGAGGTGCGGACGATTGCATGGCCGTGGCGCCATGGGTTCATGGCCGAGTGGGTTCTCCGCTCATACTGGTACCATCTACATTGCTATTCCTGCGTACAGATCTACCATTCCCAGACTGTTCTTAGAAATCGTAATCGACAAGACGTTTGAGACCGAGGTTGTCAGATCTTGGTAGGTAGTTGTGGCCAATTGTCTCGCAGTGTGTCTTGTCGCTCTGGTGCAGGTCGGGACGATTTGCAACATGATTACTGAACGCTAAATTTCCGTTTCGGCAACTACCGACTAGCCTGACCAATCACGTGAAGCCAAGAATTCCATCAGTCAATTCACAGTGCTTGCAGCGGTCAGTCCATCATGCGCTTCATTAACAGCTTCATGATGACGAGGCTAGTTTTGCGAAAGACAAACAATCTTACATTATTTCAATCAGACGTGCAAAACTCTTATAGATGCTTGACACTATCCTGATTCACAGTCTGAAAGGTGCTAGTCTCCTTCGTTCTGCTGTCCAGACAATACAAGCAATACGGACCCCGGGTTATCTAGGTAGCCGACATCAATTGCGTTGCTACTATGCACCCCAACCTACAAGCCGAGCACACTGCGCCTGCCACTTGCATCTGTCCAAAGTTAGCTATTTAAGCGTCTGGTCAAGAACGTGTAAAGCTTGTGTATGATCACATAATCTAGCACTGCAACTACGCTGACGCCTGACCCGGTCCATCTCTAAGCTTAGGAAGAACACCCAACCAGTTGTTTGACGGTGCATCTTCACCCTGTCCTGTAGCGGCTGATGTCTCTGCCTCTCCAGGTTTCCCACAAGTGTTTTTCTCAGCATTGTCATATCTATCTCGCACCTCATGCCCCGTTCGGTAGCTGGATCCGTCCTTTGCGTCTCCAACGTCTTTACTTCGCAGTGTACTCTCGTTCGTCTCGGCATCGCTCTGGACGGACGATGCAGATCTATGAGCATTGGCAGCTGCATGATCACTATTCTGAATCTCAGTTGCTGCGGTGGCTCGGTCTTCATCTATGCGCTTCTCTCCCCTATCTTCTGCGTTGATCCATGTTTGCAGATCTTCATCAGAAGGCTTGCGGAAACACCACATTTCATCAGAAGTAGTGTATCCAGTGCCCATGCCACCTTGGAAGTTGCGCCGAAACTTCCTCTGAAGGCCAGCGGCCAATCGTTTCCTGAACTCATTGTCTACCCGTAGACGAGCGGCTATCCATTGGTCGGTCGGTCGGTGCTCGTTGGGGATGTCTTCCATGAGAGGCGTTTCCAAGATCTTCTCATCTGTCATGCACCTACTGATGATAGACTTCCCACCTCCAGAATCTGGTGCTACTAGCCTAAGGAACTCGAGACTTGTACTGATATTGAGGTCAATAGCCCTTTGCGGATGAACAGTGGCCTTCAGGAACAGCGATGAAATATGCTTGTACAAGATCGAGAAGTCGCTTTGGTTGATGTGCACGGAGCCTCGGACAGTGAAGAGATACGCAGGGGCGCCATGCTCGCTAGCCTCTCTCATCAGAGACATGGCTGCATCCCAGTTCTTCTGCCAATACATGAACGCCTCGCTAGCGATGCCCAGTAAGGGGAGGTGTATCCGATGTTTTGGGTCCTCCACTGGTGGCTTTACAGGCGCACTGCAAGTATGTTAGCCTTCGATATAATGAAGGCAGAGACGTACTCACCCCCAAATATCATAGATGATTCCAGCCTGGACGTTTGTAAATCGCTCTGTATGCCTGAGCACCTCTACCACAGTCGCTGCTCCGAAACTATGGCCAGCGACGGTCATCTTATCTACGTGGAACCGATCTTTCCATTGTGCCCAATCAATTCCACTCAGGCCTCTTGAAGAGCCGCCAATATAACCTTCCCCGCGTAGATTCTGCTGTGCGACCTTCTCTCCATCACCAGCACATATGATCTTGAGTACACGGTATGCTTCCTCGAGCTCACAGAGACGCAGTTCGATCTGCGCGCTCCGAAGTTCGCCGTCTACGCCGTGCTCATTGTTCGGTGCAGTATCCATTGGGTTATCTTTGGGAAAGATGTAGTCCTGCGATCGTCAGCCTATCACGTTCCGTATTACCCACCGCCAAAAGAAAACCCCAATGGAGACGTACGACATGGTGATAGCCTTGTGCGATCTCCTCCTCAGTGTGGTCCAGGTGTTGAAACTTGTCGAAACTTTCATCATCTTCTTCGTCCCCATCGCAAGCACTATGCATTCCTTTGCCTCCTCCCTGCGGGCCCTTTCTCCGCTTCCCTTGCCTCTTGTGGTTGACGAAAGTACGTGGTCCACTCCCATCTCTATGCTCCACCGCGCAAACGACGAAGCCATAGCTTGCAAACTCTGAGCACAAGCTACTGTATGCAGTTCTTGAGCCCCCAAGACCATGACTGAATATCAGCAGGGGGAATTTGGGCTCCTTGCCCATGCCCTCGGGCGGACTGCCCTGCTGGTTCTTGATCTTATAACCGTTCTTCTTCATGTTGCCTTCTGGAGGCCAATGAGTTGCAGGAGGAGCATTTCTGTAGCCACGCAGCTTCGTGAGCATGGTGGTTGCGCCAAAAATACCAATGCTTATAGAGCTTGGTATGCCAGCAAAACGCGCATAACCCTTCGCTGTTTCCATGCGCGGTCTTGGAAGCCATGTCTCTCGACTCCATTTCTTCTCTCCTCCTGGAGCGTTCCCGTTTCCACTTCCAAACGAGGAGGGGTAGTATAGTGTGAATAGAACAGTCTCCAACTGCAGGAGGTGCCGGCCCTTGCGCTTTATGTTCGAGATCGGTCGGGGATTCTCAACAGGGACTTCTATTTCCATGCTTCCTATGGAGTAGGGTCCTGAAGTAGGAGAGAGGGTGGAGTTAGGGTATGGGAGATGGTCGCGTAGCGACGCCGGGGGTCGTGTGCGTGGCTTCTTCGCGTTGGGCACCTTGTTTGAAGATGAGGAGTTGAGGACGCTGCGTCGACGAGCGCCATGTTCTATGCCGGTGATCCGCGTCGTTTGACGCTCGATATACGACATAATGAAGGATGAGCGATGGTATGAACGGCTATGTAGGGTATCTTGAAAGAAGGAAACGTGCACAACAAAACACGTCAGTGCAAAAGAGCCAGGCTCAGGGCGCGACTGGCGATAGAGCGATCGCGAAGACCCACGGTCGAAGATGCTTCGCCATGCTTAGCAGCGGCTATAAGACGCGCACGAGACGCTTGCTCCGCTGGCGAGACTGTGCGGATGCGCTCGGGAACCTAGTGTTGGTGTTTTGGAATCGAAGAACTTGACGTCATATGGCTCGGTCGCCCTTTCGAGCGCGCAGGTGGGGCCATTAGATTTTGCCCGCAGCCGAGCCATGCACTGCCCCTGGACCCAAGTCCGGTTCAACGTCCGCTCAAATCTCAATGGCAATGATTGAAGAAAAGCGGGACTCTGAAACCTACGCGATTCTGATATAGCACTCGATTGAATTCTACCATGTGCAGTAGGAAATCATGTCAAATTGAGCTACTCATTAGTATTATAAGTATCGTACGCCTCCAAACTTCCACGCCAACGCAAGATACAGTATACCCGGTAAGAAGCATATGTCCGGCCCAACGTTTCAAGAGGTTGGACTTCGTCGCTCTGGCTCAGGCTACGAGGTCTTTGACTTGTCCACCACCGGGTACTGGTCTGTACCAAAAGTAGCGTTGAGTGACACCTGTCCTGAGATCTTTCCGTTCTCCATGCGGATCCAAGTATCCACGACCCTCGCGTCCAACATGTCCTCTTTGACAACGATCTGGCGCGCACCACGTGTCCAATCGGTGTAGCCGCCGTAACCCGAGTGGCGATTGAAGCAGATATTTAGCCCATTACCATGCTTAGGAGAGGTATCCGGGAGATCTTTGGCCCATTTCATGCACCAGTCTACACCGTGGTCGTGACCAGAGAAGACGGCCATGAGTCCCTCAGTCTCGACGAGCGCCGTCATAAACGGGATGTCAGCGCCGCCGTACTTACAGTTGTTTCCAGTGCTGTCGCAAACGTCGCCCTGGTGTCCTATGTTCTCTTCATTAAGGCCTGGGCTCGTCTTCCGGTCACGCCCATTCTGTTGAAAAGATCTCGTTGCACGAATCGGAATATGCACAAAAGCCATACTGGGGATTGTGCGGCCGTATTGCTGGGTAAACGCGTTGTTGGTATTGCGAAACCATTCGACGACCTGCAAGAGTCAGTACAGCGCATAACATGGTAGAAAGCGTCACATACTTTTTTGTCAACCCAGTTGGGAACGCCAATATCGTCACCAGTTGGTTGATACTTGCGGCCGCCCTTGCTATCGAAAAACCACATGAGCATCTTCAGCTCAGAAGCATTATCGGAGCTGTAAACAGGAACGAAATAGTTGCTCCAGCCGACTTGATCGACTTCGCCAGCCACTGACTGCGTTGTGAAAGACAGCTTCTTGCCATTCCGACCCTTGACGTCCCACCACATGTGTTCGGACATGTCTCTAGTACTGCAGGTCTTGGATGCATCATGGTTACCGAATGTCGCACCGAAAGGCAGGTTGCGGCTGACAAGTGGAGTCATGATCTGGTCGATCAGCGTGTTTGCGTTGCCAGCACCAACCCATTCGCAAGACACCAGGTCGCCATTGAGAACGACAAAATCAGGCTGCTCATTGTCAAGAACGGAGTTGATGACGCCAACCGTCTTGAGGTCTGCATAGGGACGACCGCGCAGGGAATCAGCTACAAATGTTAGTGAGATCTGGTAACAGACGGATAATCGACGTGATAGCTTACGCTCGCCAAAGTGAAGATCACTGAAGACAGTAACTGAGAGCTTTCTGTCTGAGGCAAATTGAATGCCTGCGTATTGAGGGTTATTTCTGCTCTGAATAACGGAAGCGCTGACAGTGATAGTCAGCAGCGACAGTAGCCAAATACATCTCGTAGCCGACATGGTGGATCAAGCAGGTCGTTTTAAGTTGATAGAGCCAATGTTAGCAGGCAGAAGAGTTGATCGCTTAGCAAAATCAGTTTCAACGAGAGTGGATAGTGTACAAAAGGAAGTGAATTGGGGGAAAGACTATGCCCTTGAAAACAGTGAAGGGGTGAGAATCGGGAAGGGACTCGCGACCTGGGCTGTAAGAAGGTACGATTAGCACTGGGAAGTTGCGACTCGCTCCATTGTCAGCCAGGAATCATGCGCGTCAACGCAGTCTCTCCGAGTCTTGTTGTCACTCAAGATTCACAACCAACTGAACAAAGACCAGAAGACTCAGACACTGAGCCTACTGCAGAAAATCATCAGAACGAGGACAGTCCTCTACACGGTTCTGTTCTTTTGCGTTGAATAGCCAACACACCGACGATACTTTTGAGCAAGACATGGAATGCATGGGTAGAGTTGGTTAAGCTAGCGGTAGCCTGGCTTGTGTAGTGCTCGGGGGTCCGCAAGTCGATCGCGCTAGCCAAGACTTCCCCACCAAAATTTCCAGAAGCGCGAAGCCGGCTATCACTCCTTCACCTCACCTGCAATGAACGCCGAGGCATATCTGCGCAAGCAGGGCTGGCAGGGCTCAGGTCACTCTCTCGATCAATCTGGCCGCGGCATCAAAAAGCCGCTTCTCATCGCGCATAAGAATGATCAGCTAGGACTCGGCAAGAAGAAGGCCGCGCACACGACAGACGACCAGTGGTGGTTGCGCGCATTCGACCAGAGCCTGCAAAGTATCGGCACGGGAAAAGATGTATGCGATCATGTCTTTTCCCACTTGCGCGACCAAACGACTGACCTTCCACATAGAGCACACTCGACCAGATTCGAACGCAGGGCATCTATCGCGGCGGTTTATATGGCTTCTTCGTAAAGGGCGAGATGATTGGGGGTACCATCGGAGATACCTCAGCGACTACTACAGACGCATCGAACCCTGCTTCTGGCACAAGCACTCCCCCTACATCCGCATCCGATACCGAAACACATGTGCCTACGAAGGAGAAATCTGACAAGAAGAATAAGCGCAAGCGAGATGAAGCAGAGGCGCCATCCGGCAAGAAGATCAAGAAGGCCAAGGGTCGTACTGCAGAACTAAAGGATGATCAGAAAGCTGTGGCAAAGAAGCTCGCGAAGCTGAAACCCGCCGAGAAGACCGACTACGAGACACGCGCCAAGGCAAAGGGTCAGACGCTCGAGCAATACGTCCTTCGTCGCATCCAGAAGAAGACCGAGACGCGCACATCCAAGCATGTGGAAGAAGTTAAGGAGAAGAAACAAAAGTCTGATGGAAAGGAGAAGAAGAGCAAAAAAGCAGGCAAGGCGCAATAGCAGTGACCAAGACATGACAGCTGGAGAGTACAGTAACCGGCCGGGTCAATAATCAACCCGCCATGCGTTGCGTGTATATCTCTCAATTTGGGCGCTGCTCGGAAGTGCATGCAGAACGTGTCAGGGGCCATTGCTATAACAAGAACAACAGCTCGAGAAGCTGGATACTGTGAACACCCCCTTGAACATCGAGACAACATCTAATGGGTTGCAGCAAAGGGGAGAAAACGTCGATGACAGCTTCGGGCTGCCCTACAAGGGCTCAAGGTAGAGACCGTAAGGATGATCCTAGCGCGGAGAACACGGTCGAGACGCGAGATGGGATAGATTTGAGAAGTTTGGATACCCGTTATATAAGCGAGACCCTGTATAACACGGATCGCACGATGTTGTAGAGAGCGAGTACTATCCGATTACTCAAACCACCTTGATCAACAATACGCAAATCTTACAACCACACTCCCTCCCACCTACAGTATCATACATTCCCATCATCAAAATCATCAAAATCATCATCTATCCAAAAAGAAAGAAAGAGAAAAATTTCAAGCGTCGTCAACGAGGAGCAACGCCAAAGAAACACTACCTTCCCTGATCAATTTCACCCTGTCTTCCCACTCAGAATCCACGGCCTCTTCTCCCAGAACTCATCCTTGATGATATCAACATGTTCCATCAGCACAGTCGCCTTGCTCCTCTTTTTTCTGTCTTTGTCTTTTTGCGTACGACTCATGTGTACCGGACGGCCTTCATTGGTTTGTTGGGGATGAGCAACTGCGGCCCGACTTCCAGTTTCCGGCTGTGGTTGTTTGCCTTTGCCCGGTTTAGTCTTGGAGGAGTTTGACTTTGGGGGGTTAGGTCGGTTGACATCTTTGTTGCGGCCAGTCGACGGCCAGCTACTGGGCAAGGGATGGGTAGTGGCGTAATTTTGGGAACTTGAACCTGTTGATGTTGTCGAGGATAGAAGAGTGTGGATGTCTGGGCTCGAATGGGGGTATTGCAATGATGCTGATGTAGGCACAGAATGCGTTGGAGCAGAAACAGCGTGGAGTTCCGCGATGCCCGGGTGGGAGACATTACCCTGACCCCAGACGTGCCCGCCTCTATTGTCTGAATCGCTAGTTCTTCGTTGGGGTGACTCAGTTCCATTGGTGGATGCAATGGCATACCTGTTCCATTCTTGCTGTGGACTATTCCCCTTGACCTTTTCTCGCGTACGCATCTCTTCCTCTGCGCTCATTGGGGGACTTGGTAGAGCCTTGTTCTTTTGTATTGGTGGGCTGACTTTACGAGGTGGGGTGGATGTTGTGTCTCTAGGGCTGACTACACTCTCTTTCTCATCGAAACTATCCCGTGTAGCTTTGAGTGTCGTGGTGGATCGATGGACCGGTAACGATAGCTTGCGCGGCTTACTGTTGGCAGGAATGCTGGATATACGCAATGGTATAGATGGCGGTTTCGGTGGTGCAGGTGTACTGGATGACGCAAAATATGTCGGCAGTGAAGGCTGGCTTGGTGATCGTTGTTTGAGCCGAGAGGGTTTCACCTGAGGTGGGTGTGACGTTGTCAAAGAAGCTGATGCAGAGTGCGAGAACCCATGACTGACCGCTGCATTCGTATGATGACGGTAGCCAGCTATGGGAAAATCTGCGGGGAAGTCGCCCTGTGGTGTCACCGGTGAGAAATTGGTGCGTGTTGTTGGATTT